CCAGCTCCTGCAGCCGTGCGTTTTCCAGGGCAGTTAGTAAGACAGATTCTCCATTATTCTGGCACAGCCCTATTGAGTTCACTCAGCAGAGCTGAGCGTGTGACACAGGGAGGATGGTGTGTGCTTCCCCCCTCCTGCTGTCCTGCGCTGGGGATTCAGCAACTAATACTCCTGCCTCTGGTCTTTCAGAAAGTTGATCACATTTTTGTTAGGGCTTTTTCTCATCCAATTAGTAGAAGAAATTACTCTCCTCAAGCAGCGAGGGAGCTAGGTGCCTCCTTGTGATCCCATCCAGCTCTCATTTATGTGCATTTCGGTGTACAAACTCCAGTTTATTTACTAAACTCCTAAACAAAGTCAGTCCTTGATTTATCACAATCTCAGAGCTGGGGCTTGCAAGCTGCTGTGTGCTCATAGTATTGTCGTGGAGGTTTCCGCATAAAGGAAATTTCCTTCCCAGTGTTGCTTCAAGATAAGTTGGATTCTCTATTATCAATACTGCTGTTAGAGTGGCTTCCGTTTTCCTGCTGTGCATGTTTTACATGTTGCGTATTTGTCTTTACCCTTGGGAAATAAATGTTTTCACAAGCTGTAGGACACTTGGAGCTCCACCCATATCCTCTAGTTTTAATTAATCTTCAAAATCTAAAAGCGTATTTTTGAAAGGATGAAGGACATTTGTCAAAACGATCACATGAGATTCATAAATGGTGCTTCAGGGCCCATCGCTAGTGTTAAATCCCTGGTATCATCACTCACGGAGGCACCTGGCCCGTAGTGCCTAGGTTTTTACATAGCACTGCACTTCAAGAGAGTCTTAATTGTGTTCTGTGCTTAGGTGAGTTGTCAGAGCTGTAAGTACCACTTTTCTGTAGGTATGTTTCTTTCTCTGAAACATATAACCAAAATTTGTTGGTTTGAATTCTGTGCGTGTTTTAACCTGAAACCCCAGAGCAGAAAAATACAGTTTATCAGTTTGAAAGGGTTGGTAAAAGCATTGCAAAGACCTGCAGTCATTGTGAAACACCATGTAGAAATAATCAGGAGAGGTTTTAACATGACCAACCCCAATCATGCAACTTTCAAAACAGGCTTGTTTTGCTTTCCCACGTTGTGTGAGCACAAGAGGAGTTGAGCGATGTCGGGGTAAGAGTGGCTGTGCCTTTTCCCCTCTGGTGTTTCTGTCGTTAATAGTGTCAGCGGGGAATTGGAGAGCTGTGCTCTGCCTGTGCCAAGTGCACGATAAAGAGTGGCCTTCCTGGGTGACCGACCATTAGGAGACTGAAAGAACTGCTGTGTCTCTCCGGTGGCATTTTTCTGAGATATGTTGCCGGTTGTCCCCAAAAACTGGCAGCGAGCAGGTGGGGCCTGGCTCTTGCGCGGTGCCGCAGGGTTTTCCCACGGGGCGGAGGTTGTACCCCAGGGATCTTGCTGCTTTTGGCCGTTCTTGCTGTGAATCAGATGAAAGGAGGAGAGACAGGAAGAAAATGAAAAGCCGTTAGTGGCTACAGTGATGAAGTTGCTCAAACACACGTGAAGAGCCGACAGTAGGTGCAGCATGTGGAGTCAGCACTGAAGCCATCGCAGCTGCAGTCTCAGTTGAGATTTTCACACTGTTCTTATCTGGCGGGGTGAGCAGGGAGGAGGAGGATGATGGTGCTGCAGAGGATGGGTGGGGATCAGGTGAGAGGAGTGAAGACAAGAGCAAGCGTGGAGTGGGTGTGGAGGTGAGGAGCCAGAAAAACCAACCGAGCCCTTCAGCCTGTCGCTGTAAACAGGAAATCGAGGGCCACAGAGAGAGAGACAGAGGAAACGGGAAGGCAGAGGGGAGAGGCAGCAACTGCATTTGAACTAGACTAAAGAAAACACGTATAATGGCACCAGGCATCAGCTAGCAAAGCACAGAGGGCCTCCAGCTAGAGGGGGAGAGCCTGTAGGCTGTTCCTGTCCTCTCCCTCACTGATGATTTGGTGCACTTGAGGATACTGAGGCAACACAGAAGAGGAGGAGTCAGTGGAACTTTCTCATGTTTTTTTCCCCTGAATGCCCATGGCCTGAAGAATGCACTTTCATGTCCTCTTTTAGGCTCAGCAATCATGCTGGGGTGGGGCAGCTTTTTTAGGAGAGTGACCCCGGGGGCCATGTCAGCCCTGTCTGCAGGAGAGACCCGTCTTCTTCCTCCTGAAAGGACTACGTGGAGCTGGCTGATTTCCTTTGACTTGCTTTCAACAACAGAAGATCCTAAATGGTGTTAATTAATACAATGGCTACAAAGTTTTCACAACCTGACTTGGCATGCCACTGTATTTCCCATGTCATGTCTTGAATTTGTTCAAACTTAGGCTCTGACTCTTCATCTTCTTTTACTCAAACCACATGGATGTTCTTTTCCCACTCATTACTTTTATCATGATGTGACATTTGGAGGATGGTTGATAACCATAACTTTTAACCAAAGATTTTTTAATGGATGGCTTTGTGATTATATTTCATAGGGGGCTTTTTGTTTACATAATATTTTCTGTATCCAACTCTTATTTTTATAATACTATCCATCCATACTTTTCTTTGAAATGAATATTACCACATGGATCTCTGGATGTTGTGCTTCTGTATAGAGACTGCAGTGATTAAATAAACAAACTTGCTGAGCTGTTCTGGGATTTGTTCAGGCTGGTGAAGGGAGATGTAAAAATACTTTGAGTAAAAGCATGGGTTACTAGACAAGCGGATATGCAGATACAGCATTCCCAGGAACTTGCTATAAATAGTTTGTAAAATATATATTTAAGGTCAGCAGACATTATATTTAAATCATTACTTGGATAGACAACTATTTCCACTAGTCAGATATGTTGGGGTTTTTTCTTCTTTGGTCCAAGATTGAACAAGCTCTGTTACTACACCACTGGTATGAATTTCAACGTGGTTAGGAGATGCTGCAGCTTTTGGCTGCAAAGGCCATACTTATTTTTACAGAATCGCCTTGCTGGGGCAAGGTTTGGGTTTTCTAACAAACTGACCGTTCTCCTGTTGGCACAGCACTTATTAAGGCTGTGCAGAGCAGCCCCGCGCTGCTGACGCTGTGGTGTTCTGGCAGTAAAGGGCGTGCGTGTCACACAGCACTGGTGGGGCCTGGGCGTTTGGGTGGCCACGGGGGCACGTGCTGCTGCTTTGGAGAAACTGCAGTGGACTCCTCTCAGCGCACTGGAAAGCGAACTGCAGTTATTGCTGATTTCCTGTTCGCTTCCTATATCTTAGCAATCCTCTGCTTTGTGCGGAGTGGGGACAGACAACGGTAACACAGTGTTAGTTCATTGAAAGCATATTGCTGTTTTCTCCTAAGACCTTTCACACCTTTCCAAGGCCCATTTTTTAGTTTCACACATCATAGGTAGGTAAAAGCTGTTACAAATGGGACAGTTTCAGTGCATTAGCTTTGGTCGTGTCCCATGTGTAGGTAGCAAGAATAAATTCAGAAATACATGGGAGGAACTGAAACCTTAGGGTGGGGTTTATGTAACTGGGCAAACCGCTACTGAAGTACTGGTCTGTTCTCCCACTCCCTGTCAAATTCCTCCTCCTTACCATCATTCTACTATATGATTTCTTTTATTACTCTCTTTTTTCCTTGTTTCCCAACTTTCTGTCTTCTTCAGCTTCAACTTCTTTGTCATTCCTTGTCGCCAAGATCAGACTTCTGCTGCCATCCCCAATCCTATGGGTGTGGAGGCTGTAACTGGTTATGAACGTGCTGGGATCCTGCCCCCACGATGCTGCGCTGTCAGGAAGGGGGCACATCCTTTCTTTTGAAGGATGTCATCCACTGAAACCTGGGTAGTCAGATATAAACTCTGCATTGATCTGCACTGTCGTTAATGTTTTATGTGTTTCAAACAACATAGTTGGAGTTTTCAGAGCCTGACATGTTACATTTTTGTGTAGGATTTACCACTCTTCAGGTTTCTGAAAGTGTCAACAACTTTAAAGAGACTGATGGGAGGTTTAGATGCTCAACTGCTTGGAAAAATGGTCCGCTTCCATTTGTATGTCTAATTATGGACTTCGGAATCCGAGTTTGAGCACCTGTGTTTTGACAAATTTGGTCTGTAGTAGTTCCCAGCTCAGTGAAACAACTTTTTGCTAACAAGGAAGGCTTCATCCAAAGCCCTTGGCAAAAGAATTTAACCACAAAGATGTGTAGTATTTTCTGTCTGAGAGTTCTCGGCTTGGCAGATAACTGTTGAGGAGTTTCTGAATTAATGTGGACTGTAGTGAGCCTATGCATTAAGAGAGCTCTCGTAGTCAGTGTTTTCATGTATAAACAGTTGTGAAAGGCTCTGGGAAGGTGGAAAGAACATATTTTTCTATGGTTTTAGATAAAGGCAAGTCTACTTCAAACATACAGTTACAGAAAAGTTCATCTTGACATTGAGCAAATACAGTTACAAATGTTGAATCTGCAAATAAATATTGTAATGAGAAGGGAAAAAATAAATGGCAAGCTTTGGTCTCTGCTTTCTTTTCTGCCTATCTTAATCCAAAGTGACTTCTGGTATTTCAGGGGATCTGTTGTAGATTTGTGTGTGTGTGGGTTTCTGAGAGCAGAAGTTGGCCTGTTCTTCCAGTGTTGAAAGATGACTCTTGATCAAATTACTGGACAAGTCTGATCAGTTCAAAGGGGCTTCTACATTGTAACTCTACAACAGACCTCTTGACACCTTGAGAAAGCTGCTTATCTGAGCAGCAAGTAAGTCTGCAATCTATTGTTCAGATTTATTCCATAGATAGTAACTCAGTAAATTCCCACTGACATTAGAAAATGTCATGAAATAGGAAGAAAGGTGGATTTTCAGTGAGAAGTCTCGATTTCTTCAATGATTCTGCTAAGAGGACAAGCCATACCTTTCATTTAATATTAGACATATTTGAACATCACATTTTCATGTAGGTATGTGAACTGTGGTTTATTTTGAGTAACACTGTGTTGTTTTCCTAACAGATGAACGTGAGGCAGTTCAGAAGAAGACTTTCACAAAGTGGGTTAATTCCCACTTGGCACGTGTATCATGCAGAATTACAGATCTGTACACTGACCTTCGTGATGGAAGGATGCTCATCAAACTTTTGGAAGTTCTTTCAGGAGAGAGACTTGTAAGTGCTTATTAATATTCATTGTGGGGTTTTTGGTTTGGTTTTGGGTGTTTTTTTGGTGAATCCTTGGCTCAACTGAGGTATAGCAAAACTGAGCACAGAGGATTCAGCACTGCAAATGTCTTTTTACATATTAAAGAAAAAAAAAGTATTGCTTCAGCTAGATCCAGATGCCATTAAAATATCTTCCTATTGGTTTCAGTAGGAATCAAAGGAAGTCTCCTTCAAAGGGTCCTTGCTGGTGAGATGCTGAGTGCTTCCAGCAGCATACTCCCTGCTCCTGTATCTGACAGGCACAGAGCACTAAATGTTCTCCAGCCCCTTAGGCCGTCTTGGTAATGGTGAATTATGGATGTGCTGAGGAACGTTCTGGGTGCTGTGTCCAGCTGGCTTGTTTCTGTGCTAGTAAACACAGCCGCCGGATGCAGGTGGCTGTGTGCAGGCTGCCTGCCGGCCCCAGGCCTGGAACATCCCTGATCCCTTCCCTGGAGTGTGTCGGGGGTCCTGGAGAACAGCTGGTTGGAGATGGTCAAGTCCACCCTGGGAAGCCTTGCAGCAGTTTTAGCCATGGTGTTAATTGCACCCCACTGCTCAGGAATGTTCCTGGGTATACTTGATTTTACTAGGATATGTAAGGCTTGGATTTTCTCTGGTTAGAGTAATATCTAAAATTAATCTAAATAAATGGGGTAAATTCTTTCTTTGAGTATACTGAGAAAGCGCCCTTGATACCAGCACAAGGGAGAGGTGAGTAAGAAAATCCCTGTGGTGAGAAATGCTGCTGCATGGCAGGAAAACCGGGTGTCAGGAAATGTCTGGGTATCAGTTTTTCATTCAGTTCCTTGAATGATGGCTCTACTCTTAACTACCTAATTTAAAGCAATCTTTTCAAAGAAATACAGGGCTTTAGCTAAGACCTAAGGCTACATGAGGATGCAACTGTGTAATCGCTTGACATCAAGCTCTCCATTTAACAGAAACACTATGGCTTAAGGCTCTGGTTAATGGATTGAACATATGGCCCACAGTGTAGTGTCGGTACAGTAAGGCAAGACAGGGAGCTTTCTGTGAGGGTAAGGAAATACTGATGTGTGTAGAAATACCCTGTCTGGATGGAGGTGACTAATCTCAATGTTTGTCAACTACAATTTGCCCAAAACACGTTTCTCTCTATGCAAATCGTTTCCTTCAGCGAGGTGTTAGGGTTGATGTGTTCACTGCAGGTAGCAGATGTTACTTGTACAGGAATAACTGAGACCAACATGCCCCATTATTTGAGGATTCAGACAGCGACTGTGACACCTCTGTTTAAATCTTCATCTCTGCCTGCCAAGATTTGGCTGTCAGTGTCAAATAGCAGCAGTGAAGCTCAGACCAGTCGCGTGACTCTTGCTGCGTGATTCATTTACATTTTTCACTCCAGGTTTTGAAAAATGCAAACAGAGCTCTTGCAGCTGTTTGAGTGGGGAGGGTGCAGGAGCCACCCGGTGAGAATGCTGGATCGGCGCTTGCATCATCGATTGCGTGTTGCATTGGCAGCTGCCTGCACCACCACAAATTCTTTTTGTAGCTTCGTTATCTCAGGATGGAGGACAGCAGTCTCTGTTTGAACAGTACATTCCACCACACCTTCCTCTGCAAACAAGAATACAGATAATGCAATGCACTAAACCTTGAAACAATTACACATGCCAAAAATATTCCAGGAGGTTCGGCACATAAATTCCAGTTCCTTTTGGAATTTATTTTAGCTGGTATTGGTTAAGATATGACATCTTCATGACATCCAAGCAGAAATCTAAGGGCAGTGCCTTATGCAGAAAGCTTAAAATCAAGACAAGAAACATCAAATGGTAAAAAAGCAATAAACAAATTCAGGAAGCAGCCTAGATAATTATTTTATTATGGTATGTTTACTGATGCAGTAGAACAAACAAGAATTTTCTCACTTTTGAAACCAGGTTTCAGATTCTGGAGCTGGAGCCATATGCCCATGAAGCAGTCAGAGTTTCAGGATACTGATTGGGAAAGCAGGACTGCTCTTTGTCCTGTAAGACCTCCACCCTCCTTTGTAGAAACCCTGCATTGTTCAAAAGCTGTTGTAGTTTTTTTGATGATGAAAACCCAGTTTCCTTGAAGGTGAATTGGAGAAGCTCAAAATGAGTGTCCAATAAGGGCAACATCTCCATCTCCCTGTCTTTGCTCAGCTTGATTACTGATCCTAGTCTTTAGTCCAGACCTTACTACATAAAGTCCTCTGTAGAGCACAGTATTTGGAGAGAAATTGATAGCTTGCAGTAGTCTCACTGAGCAAAGTGGAAAATAATCCGGCCGATATGAAAAGACGGTTCTAATTTTGTTTGCAAGCACTGTCAACCAGCTTCTCCCAAACAGAAGAATAAAGCTGAGAATTGTTTCCGGCATAAAATTAAGCATTTAGCTCAGTTTCTTCGATAACTATTTAAAGGATTAGTAAATTCCTTACAATTCCTGGATGCTCAAAAGGTCAAACTGTTTAAGCAGATTCTCAGTAGTAAGTTCTGTCATGTTTTCTGTTGGAAAAGGGAAGATTTTTGCTGACAGATTTTCCTGATAATATGCATGTGAAGTCTCTGAATTTAGTTAAATACAATAAATGATGTGTTCAGCTGCTTTCTTTCCCTCTGGTTGATTTCTGCATCTGTGTTAGCCCAGAGAAGGTGAAAGTTGCATCTCACTACGTCTCATCTTGAGGCTGTGCAGGAGAGTGTGGCAAGCGCAGACACACCTTGTACAAACCGGACTTGGATGCCTCTTCCTCTTTGTGGTGCAAAACGGTGGGTTAAACTGTACAGCCTGCCTGAGCTGAGGGACAGAAAAGTTGAACCTTCTGTCTTCTCAGGGTGCCCGGCATTTTTTTGCCTGGGTGGCACTGTTGTTGCTGTCCATACGGAAATTTGAAGTGGCTTCTTGAACCATTAATAAATGGTAGTTTGAACAGCCTTAGATCATAGATAGAATCATAGAATGTTGTGAGTTGGAAGGGGCCCACAAGGATCTTCAAGTCCAATTCCTGCCGCAGCATAGGACAGTTGCAAGATTCAGCCCATGTTTGTAAGGTTTGATTCCACAGATCACATGTGTCTGAGGGCCTTGTCCAAGTGCTTCTGGAATATTGTCAGGCTTGGTGCCATGACCACCTCCCTGGGGAGCCTGTTCCAGTGCTCCACCACCCTCTGGGTGAAGAACCTTTTCCTAATGGCCAACCTCAACCTCCTCTGGCACATCTTACTGCCATTTCCTCTGGTCCTATCATTGGTCACCAGAGAGAAGAGATCAGCGCCTGCCCCTCCTCTTCCCCTTGTGAAGAAGTTCTAGACTGCGATGAGATCTCTCAGTCTCCTCATCTCCAGGCTGAACAAACCAAGTAACTTCAGCCTCTCCTTGTATGGCTTCTGATGACACTGCTAATAAGCTGTTACAACCCCAGTAGGGAATTTCTGAGCTAGAAAGTGCACCTAGTGCTGGAGCACTACAAAAATATGTCAGCCTGCTCCTGCTCTACAGGGAGCAGCGTCCTGTTCAGGTTTAATGTGTGTGCTCTGCTGCTTCGGGTACAGTCATTGCGCTTGTGGGAGAAAAAATCCTGCCCATAACCTCAGGGTTATGTGTCCTGGATTCTTAATCAGAGTATGTTGTTGTACAGAGGGTGGGTGGGAGCAGGCAGTCTCAGAAACTGAATAAAATGTCTATTGTGAATGGTGTTAGCTGTGTCACCGTGGTGCTGGAGCTTCTGAGAGTAGAGAAAGAGCTTTTAAGACCCTTTATACTCAGTAGCTTGAAGCATCACAGGCAGTGCAGTTACTGCTAGGTGAGAAGGGCTACATTAAGGCAGATGGGACAGATTCAGGTTTGCCACTGCTGCTTAGAAATGGCCACAGTCACAGGCATTCCTGTG